AATTTCAATCCACGTCTTGTACGATTCACTCCAAAAGTGCATTTAAAACCAACATAAGCGTACTTAAACCTGGCATCCGGCATCGTTTTGCTGCAATTATGAACATAGTGAGTGTAGGATAACTACACTGTTAGCATTATATGACTTCCTCACTTTTTGAAATTCTGCTAATGACTTCTCAAATTCATCCCAGCTGAAGAAACGCTTTCCAAGTATGTATTCAGCAAAAATTCCACTTAAATCTGTGCTCCTGTCACTCGAATTGACTACCTGCAACGGACTAAAATAAAGTTATCAATTAGGATCCATCTATGTCACAACTATTCCAACATAAATCGTAAAAAAACAACATTGAAATACAGGGATGATCGATAACCATCAAGAAAATGCCGCACGTATAACCTAAATTACAGAAAAACACAAGAACCCACCGGTTCGTTGACATCGCAAGCAACCAATAGACCAAACAACGAATTGTACGACAAATAATGCCTAGTACATGCACAAACAAAGAAAAACAAAGCGTTACAATAGTTTCATACACGTTTACAGTAATCACATATGCTGGCAAACGACGCAAACACAACCACGCAAATACAGCACCCGACAGCACGCACCCAAGGACAATTCAAACTCCAATTGACCGCCACCATTCTAGCCAATGAAAGACGAAAAAAAATTAGTCGCGGAAAATATAACACGAGACAACGTATATACTCACCCCTAAGTTCAGCCGTATATAAATGACTATTTCCTACAGTTTAAGCGAGCAGTATTGTTTTCAGTTAAGTGTTCTTCAGAATTCAATGTACAAAGCTTTATATATATATATATATATAAAACCAATAACGGCGAGTCTGTAGATCAGAATAATAATAATGTACTTTATTCCAAGAACAGTACTTATAATACAGAATGCAATTCTCAGCGTTTCTCACAATATTGCATCTGATTTACTTAAATATAAATAAAATTAAAACAAAAGTAACCAGAGGAATATGTCCACGTTTACGATATAAAGTCAAAAATATTCGAAGCACGAATTGAGAATATTAAATATAATAACAATAACAACAACAGTGAGTTTGTTTCAAATAGTACTGCCGATTCATTTTGGAAACTTTAGCGTGTTATTATAGAGTATTAAATCTAATGTTCTGTTGATATTGTATAGTGAGGGGAAATACAAAATTAACAGTTATAACACAGCTTAAGTGATGTTAACACTTATGAAAAAATAAACAAAAAAAACAAAAATTGAGAGGATTATAAATATGAGAAGTACAATAAAAATAAAGTTTGATGTTGTAAGGGTGGAGGAAATGGTTTATTTATTAAAGTGCAAGGAAAGTTAGTTAGTTGGTTCATGCCTAACACTATTTTCATCACATAAAGTACGTGCCACCAAATGTGGTATAGTGGAATTTTTATACTTAGATGTACGTGCATAAAGCCTCCTGAAAAGACTTCTTGTTTTACCTGAGGAGACACAAGGTCGAAACTGCGAGTATAGTGAGTGGGTGCTCAGAGTCTGACAAAGTTCCTCTAGCAAATTTGTTACATGACATCAAGTGCCTATCAGTGACGATGTCAACGATATGGCCCAAGGGATACCACTCATCCTACTGACAGTCTTCAGAGTTCTACGGAGGATGACATAGTCTATTTTAAGCAATCCAGGAAAGAATAAGCAAGCGTGAACAGCCAAAAGAAGAATAGGTTAAATACGCGAGTTGACAAACTGTAACAGGAGGGGAGTGTTGAGTTATGCCTGAGTGCCTTAACTTCTTAATGTAAAAAGTCAGACGAAATATTCTTTTCGAAATCTCTAAGACACGGGAAGACCAGGATCGATCAGAAGAAAAAATCAATCCAAGATACTTAACCTCAGACTTGATTTCTATATCAGTATCATCAATTTTGCAAGGGTCATAGGAACCAACGGCTTCATTTAACTTTCGTTTACATCGGAAACTGAAATCACCAGTCTGACATTTGGAAGGATTTAGTTTGAAGCCGTTAAACGAAGACCATTCCTGATAGAAAGCTGTTCATCTTAGTACAGTCTAACTGGAAGTTAACAGACATTGAAATAGTTTGATCATTGCCATACTTAACAAAGTTCATTTCGTCATCAGAGTGAGGCAAGTCATGCAAGAAGAAAGAAAACAGAAAAGAAGAAAGGATAACGCCTTGAAGGACACCAGCCTCAGTATGCAATGAAGTGGACGACTTTCACTTACATACAGTGTACTGTTTTCTTCCTGAGAAATAAGAATGCAGCCATTTGACAACCCAACAGTCAGTTTGAGTTTCAGAAAGCTTGTTTAATAAAATGTCCCTAGGTACTGAGTGGAAAGCAGTTGGGTTATCTAGGAAGGTGCAGCGAACAAATTTAGCCCCCCTGTCTAATCTGGAGACAATGTTATGGTACAAGACTGCAACTGCATCTAAAGTACTTCTACTGTGTTTAAAAGCGAGTTGTTTGGGATCGTTATAGGCTTTAAGTGAAGGTTGAAGATCGAGTAAGAGTAGCTTTTCCATAGCTTTTAGAAAATGGGAGGTGATAGCAATAGGTCTAAATTTAAAACATGTTCCAGTAGACGACTTAATAATGTATTAAATTTTGTGAATATGTCAGTGGAAACGATGTTTACATTGATGGCAATAATAATGTCAGTAATGAAAAAAGAAGTACAAGTAGCTAATACGGGTGGTAATAAGAAGAATTAAGGTAATGTGGTAACGTAGATATTGCATTAAATAAGTTAGGTCAAATCTTAAAAGTTACTTAATGCTAAAAGTTAAATGGATCGATAATCAGAATTTATGCGAACATCATAAAAGTACGAAAGAAATAAAGAATAAGAAAGAGGTGGAATTTTCAATTAGATTTATCTAAATCAAAGAGAGAGAGAGAGAGAGACAAAGGTAGAATGGATCTCTTTTGTATAGAAAAGCCCGGATTGTTCTCTTGAATTCTCATAACTTCGGCTATAAGTAAAAGGCGGTTTGAAATTCTATTCGAAGGGTTCGATAGAATGCACTAGGATAACCTTGAAGGCGCTTCTTCGATCCACTGGGTAATCGTTATCAATCAAATGGTAAAATATAGGGATTCTTTTGAATCTAGTTTGACATTTTCCAAGCCAGGAAGACACTTAGTAATGCGTTTGTTAAGCTTTCTAGTTGTCAGTCCTTTATAATATTCTCCACTTGAGTAGCTTGACTTATAAATGCTCACAGAAGTGGTACAGCCAGGTAGCTTATATTTCACTTGTTCAGCTGAAATATAACAAGGACAAGGTAGCAACAATATATGTATGTCTTTTAGTTCCAGGTAATCTTCGATGTAGAACTTCACTAGGCACATCACCACTGAATTACAGGAACAACTGTTCCCCTTTAAATGTGTTCATTTTCTCTTTATCATATACACTGCTTATGTGTCTCCTTATAAATCCATTAGGATAACGCATTCGAAGTAGTACATTTTGCATATATCCTGATTCTATTTCTATGGAATCATCAGCACAAATCCTTCTTGCTCTATTCGTAAAGCATCCGATCATAATGATTTTGTATAGGATAATTATGAAACTGAAGGAAGGAGTATATAGTTAGTTTTTCACTTAGTGTTTTTTCTATAGATATGTCTCTTGAGTGTACTATCCTTTCTTCTGCTTAACCGAACATCAAGAAAGCGTAATCTACCGCCCTTTCTTTCTACATAAGTAGAAATTAGCGACGAATGTTCATCATTAAATTTTATTAGCGCCTTGTTCTTGTCGGCTTTCTAATCAAGAATAATTAATGTAGCATCGACATAATAGAAATAAGAATCCATTTATTCGATTACATATTTCAAAGGAACATTTCCAGTCTAAGAAAGGAATAAAACTGCCGAAATTGGCCCTAATGGAGAGCTTAGCCAACCAGGGTCGTAAAAGCACGACATGCCCTCACTGCTCTGAAATGAGCTGGAAAGTCTGCTACAACTGACGTAAGGAATTCCCAGCACTTCTGTCATATCCGTTACTCTGTATGGTTCGACAAGTCGCCACACATTTGACGAAGAGTACTCCGAGCAAGCTGTTTCAGACCTTGGTCAGCAGCTGCCTTCACCGTCTCGATAGCGAAAAACAGATGACAGACCATAAGGAATTAGCGATAAGGAACTTTGGCGGTAATGAGAAACAGACCACAACCTTTTGCCTGAAAAATATACTGACAGAAGTTATGGATTAGGAATACCTTGAGGACACCGTTTAATGACATTGCACATCGGGCCTTTTAGTGGAATTCGAATGAGAAGGCTGAAATAAAACAGGTGGTATGTAGTGTGGGAGAGTGGAAGCTCGTTGGTGTTCGTGAGGCTGATCGAAATTGATGACAGAGATCCCAATGTAGTGTAGATATACTACATTGATGGCCTATGTTGCACTACTTTGGAAGTAGGGCATTAACAACAATAGTGCTACATTTATTCTAAAATCCCCTTAATCACAAAATCGGCACTCTAACTAAATGTGATTGATTTAACATTTTACAAGAAAACTTGCGAATACATAATTACGCAAAAAAAAACTAAGAAATGAAGGAAACAACTTTCAACTCATTAAGGCTGTTTCAGTATAAAGTCATCTAACCACCAGACAATTAAATCTCCGTTAATAAGCTATCCAGCCTAGAGAAAACAAGTGCCCTGATAAAATGCAATTTTTCCGTAGTTTTTGTCTACAAACAACGTCGCAGTTATGTAAGTTCTGCGTTTTAAAGCATGAATACATATATATGCAGATGTTTTAATTTGAGTGCATTTTTTAGTGCTTAGCATAATTTCCAGTTGTAGTCTTTTGCATGCGTATATATATGAGTAAATAGGCAAGGAATAGAATCGAACTGAAATAATCCTCAAAGGTTCATGCATGTCAATGAAAAAATTATTGCTGTAGACTCTGTGTAACATATGAAATAATTTAGGAAAAGATACATATATAATGAATTCGATTAATATTCTCTTTATAACCATCTTATTATTTGTTTACTTTAGTGGAGAATTTGATGCTCAAAGAGGGAATGGCGGTGCAGCAAGGGGGCAGACATACACGTCTTTTGGACACCATTATGATGCTGATGAAGGTTTTGACATTGAAGATGATAAGTTGACGGATGACAATGACCGAGATTTTTCTAACCTTCACGATGGTGAAAAAAGTTTTGATGATGGAAAAGATGACGATAAAGATGACAATGACAGTAAATCTAATGATTCAGACGACTCTTTTCAAGGCGGGACATTTGATTATTATGCTGACAATGAGTATGATTACTATCATGGAAAACATAATAATAATAATAATAATAATAATAATAATAAAGTACATTCAGAAAATAAAAAGGATAATACAAATCCTCAAGAGGGGAAGAATAAAAATGAAGCACACGGTAGCGTTAATGCGCATCCACATCAACAATATGACTACTATAATGACTACGATATCTATGAAGATTTTCATGATAATCATAACTATTACAAACCTTATGAACCAGATGGAAGACATCCTAATTATACACAGCCTCATGATAATAACGAAGAGAAACCGCACAAAGAAACAGAAGAGGATATTTATAGAAGGCATGAGTATATTCTAAGAAATTGGCATGATATACATTATGGTGATGCATACGGGTATGCATCGTATCATCCGAGAAAATATAATAATAAATATTATGATTACCGTGGACAGGATGGAAGGTATTCACCGAACAATAAACATGATAATGGGCATTATCCTCGCAGCAATGACAATCACAGATAGGCTAATTAAAGAATCAATACAACATAAAGAAACTGACTTTTAAAGAATGTATGAAAAGTTTCTTCTGTCTTATATATTAATAAAAACAATAAATAATGATTCATTTTTATGATATATTAACATTGTTACCGCATATACTATTAAATATATTTCTTTTGCATTCAGGACAGAAAATAAGACTTTAGGCTTGGAGTCGTGGTGTTGTTACGTGTTGTATGGGTTTGCCAACCTCACACTGAACCCTCCCTCTTTTCCGGGCTCATTAATGACCAGCAGAAATGAGCTAGATTGAAGAGTTCGTCCATCGAGAATCGAACCTAGGACCACGTGCATAGTTGGCAAACATCCTACCACTGAACTGTCGATGTATGTATGTACGTGTAGTTAAATCAACACCTGTTTCAGGTTTCACTAATATTGTCAGAGATGATAGTAATTGTTTTCCAGATTTGCAAATTATTCATTGGACCAAAATAACCGATCGAACCCAAAACAAATAAATAAATTCACGCATTTTAAGAAAAATTAATAACGGTTGCAAAAGAGGTGGAGGAGGTCGTAGCTTAGTAGTTCAGGTTACAAAGTGGACTCGAACCTTAAGTTCCTTGAGTCATAAATGTGTACTACTGAAAGTCTCCAGATGGGAAGAAACAGCTGTTCATTACCTCGTGGTGTTCAGTGATTCTCTGACTTGCATCCTCTCGTTAGTTATCTTGAAGTGGGTCAACTAGTCTCAGACCAATACTTGAAAAGATTCCATTGCGCTATTAAGAATACAATATTCAACGAATTTGTTATCAAGCTTCACATTCATACATAAACGCTATTTTTGAAGGTTATATCCTGCAGAGAAGTTAAAACAACGGGTAGCATGAATGATCAGTGTTAATTACGATTAAAAATAATTATGTTAAGAAATACAGTTAAACACCGATTGACAAAGAAATAGTTTATATATTACAAATAATCATTCATAGAATATATATATCTTATAAAGGAGTGAAAAATATATAAGATTGCGGGAGAAATAAAATAGTACTTAGCAAACTGAGACAATTTGGGTAGAAATGTGCTGTTTATAGTAAAGGTAAAAATTTTAAATTGCTTACAGACGCACACAAAATACGACAGAGACTAGAGTAAACTTTCAAGTGTTGCTCTGCAGACATTCGATTAATTTCAAGATTGACTTCAAACTGATTTCAGTTAGAAAACCATTAAAAAGCAGCTGTTTCGTCCCTGCAAAACAACACTTGCTGGTTAGTCTTGAGCTCGCCGGTGACTCACTACAGGATAATAATATTAATAATTTGCTTTATTCCAAAACAGTACTTGTCATACAGAATGGAATTCTCAGCATTTTACTACAGCATTGCATCCACTTAGTACATGAACTATAACTAAAGTTCAACATAGATTAAGGTAATCTCAGTTAGTTTTGACAACACCATATTGGCATATCGGTAGCAAAGCCAAAAAGGAACAGAATGTCTGAAGGTGTTAGAAAAGTAGATGCCAGCATATATACTGGCGTGAGCGGTGACAAAAAGGTCGAGATATACAGAGTGTGAAAGAACGAAGAAGAACGTTTTTAGTAGAGTTTGTAAGGAAGAGAGAAACAAAACAGCACATAGCGAAAACAGAAAAGAGATAGAGAGAAAAGGAAAAGAAACAAAGGAAACGTTGTGCCTATAAATGCTATGAATTGGAAAGACGAGATCCAGTTGTTCTACTGACTATTTAATAAGTTAAAGGTATCACGCCTAATGCTTTTTTATCACACAGAACAGGAGCTAGGTAGAGTATGGTTGAGTTTTTGTACTAGTTAGTGCGAGCATATAGTTTTCTATATAGGCTTCTGGTCTGGTTCTGCCTGATGAGATACAAGGGGAGAGTTGTGAATGAAGAGGGTGGTGTGAGTTAGATAGATGGAATGGATTGAGTCCATTTTTCACATGAGTCCAAGTGTCTGTGGACCAGAATATTAACAAGCTGGTTAAGTGGCACGTTGCTTACCCTGATAACAACCTTTAACATCCTACATAATAAGGCATAGTCCCTCTTCAGTAGCCCTGGAAAAACTAAAGGGGAACAATAGAGAACAATAGGTAGGATGCAAGAGTTAACGAATCATGAGAGTAAGGGTTGGGTTATTCCAGAATGTCTTAACTTCTTGATGTAGAAGGTCAGACGGAATATTTTCTTAGAAATCATCAAGATATGAGACGACCAGGAAAGATCAGCAGATAGAATGACGCGTAGATATTTAATTTCCGACTTGGTTTCTATTTCAGTACCATTTATGTTGCACACCTCGTGAGTGGTAACCAGTTTGTTTAGGTCAGTCAGATTTATGCCTAAAGGTGAAATTGATTGTTTGGCATTTAGAGGGATTTAAGTTAGATGAAGTTGCCAGAAGTTCCAGTGAGAAGTTGTGACCAGTGGAGTTCATCAAGTTGGGTGTAAGGATAGATACTCTCTGATGACATTTCCTGGAGGTCGCGTTATATAATAATAATTGACAGAAGTTAGAATCCTTGGACTACATTCTAGTGTCTGCCTAGCCTCTAAGCTTATCTTACAGCCTGATAATCTTGGGTTGGACTCCTGTTTGGGTCGAGCGTGCTTACTTCTGCAGAGTCTCAGAGCTCCCTGGTTTCTAGTTGTTCCATAACTGAAGTCATTTAGTGACCAGCCTTTATGTTTGAGTAAACTCGATAAGCATTCTAAAAATTTTTGTCAGGACTTTTTGGATAGCAAAAGTCAATCAAATATTTCACAACAGACTTTCTTGTAAATGGAAGAGAAGGTTATATATATAGTCTCATTGCGGGTCGCTCAGCTCACCAGTAGAAGGCTCGCCTTCCTCGCAGCTGGTTTGCTTTCAACTCTTGCTCAGCTGGTAATTATCCCAGCAAAGAGACGAGGTTAGGAGTAGGGCTAGCAGCATCTCAGCCTAAAAAGTAAGACCTCTACTGATGCTTCAGAACTCAATTTTGAGGCTAAATGTTCCATTTGGAAGGTGAAAGAATGAATAATTATAAAAACATATTGTTGCTCTTTCTGGTGTAAGAATCTGAAACCCTCTCGTATTTATGCAAGAAAATAAAAAAGACTACATCAATGAGATGCATTACCTTCTACGAACCCACATATAGGTGTGGTCGCACAATTTAAGAGAATAATACAAGACTTACGGATATTTTAGACATTTCACATTGGATGTAGATGGCAAATAAACGGTGTACAACAGACGTCTCCTGATAATTAACTAAATCAACTCAATACTGTATTCTTTATATGAGTACTAGAAATGTTTTTCTCTTCACCTTCCCAGTCGAACATAGGGCTTCAAGCTAGTGGCTTTACCAGCATTATTTCTGACTTAGCGAGATAAAGGAGTGTGTCTGTGGCTGCAGATCGAACCCCGGACCATGTGCATGGTTGGCGAGCGTCCTAACCGTTGTGTCACCAACGCACAGAAATACCTGTCTGTATTTATGGAAGTTAAAGCTATTGCATTTAGTCATCTATAACGAACGATTTTACGATTTATGGAACTTTCATTTTCTATTATATTCAGGAGTCTATCACCCTTAGAGTACTTCCAGTTGTCCTGTAACCTTAAAATAATCATACAGAGAATAGGAATTACAAAGTTTTTTTGATTTTGATTTGAATATTTTTTTATTTTGACGACTTAATTTTGTTTCTTTGCCTGTTCTTTAATTGCTTGTAATTCTTCTATTCATTTAGAATTCTTACGTAATTTCGTATTATCTACTTTGTTTCTATGTGCATTCTGAGTAAAACTCACTCATCAAACTGTACATATTATTACATAACTTCTTTTTTAACAACTGTTTGTGACAACTCATCACCTCTCTGTTACTATCCTAATTTCATTCACACCTAATTTTCTTGACTTGCATTACCAATCTTCACCTGTTTAGTTAAAATAACCATAACCAATTGTAAAAATAACACATATATATTTGTGGATGTACAGCTAAGAAAATGAATTCGCCATCGAAGAGAGACTCTCCGCTGATCTAAGTGTTTTGTTTTTATATAATAAATCGTACCCAATCACTCATCTGTCCCTCTATTAAATGGAATAACTTTCACTAAGAAAAAATGCAAACAAAGAAAATGATTATTAAACACTTTATTATAAACAGTTGTTTTCATAGAAAATATTACACTTCGTGAGTATACTGTTGATATACACAATGATTCATCAAGTTTATAGTGTCTTCTCAGTATTTGTAATAATCACCACTGTCACCGTTGTACGATTCCCCTTCACCTTCATAATCATTTGACGTCTGTCCATTTCCACCTTCATTATTATTATTATTATTATAATCATAGGTTTGATAATCTGTTGGTGCTTGTCCTTCACTGCTTTGATAACCAGCATAATCATAACTTGATGGTGAATAATCCGATCCACTATTCGGTATAAGACTTTCAGCAGTGTTAGAGCCTTCTCCACTATATCCATTCTGTGTAGGCAAATAATCACTAGCATAACCATTGAATTTTCCAATTCCATTAAATTTACTTTTACCCTTTAAACGACTTTCTATGCCAAATTTCGCTTTCAACTTTTGTCTTCCATAACTGTACACTTTACCTTTAGTTTCATAATTTGAAAACTTTTTCTTAGATTTACTGCCTTTATGAAAGAAGGTGATTTGATGATAATTTGAGCCTTTATCCGATTTGCCAAGTGCAACAAATTTCCCCTTAGTGATTACTTTACCACTTTTATCTTTACCATCCCCTGTGTTGTAATCATAATCATTACTATTATAGGTATAATCATAATTGTTACTGTTATCTCCATTGTAATCACTTTGATAGTCTGAATAGTAATCTTGAGTTAGCACAAAGGATAAACTGATTAATAGACATAAATAAATACACTCGGCTTTCATTGTTACTCGTTTTTTGTAAAACATTTATTTTAATACTGACGTTTATATACATATGTGTAGTACGTATACAACACACATATAGCACTTTTTTATGCATTGAAAAAAAACAAACTGACACGATTTCTATTTCTTTAAATGAGTGAGTACACAGTTGTGTACTCTAGACTGGTTAATTTATGAAGTAACTTTTGAGAATGCTAAGTGCATAACATTTTAAAAAATGTACACGAATCAATTTCTGATTGAATGGTTAATTTTTATTGTGAAGATTTATTTCAAAATTGGTAATGTTAACAAGATTGAGTGGTTGCTTTCGTTGGATTTTCCAGTTATATAATTTGAATAATTCTGATGTGATCTATAAGTCAGTTTCGTGCAGTTATTCAATATAAGGCGGTAATTTGTTCCATATTAGTTTGTTTATTACATATATCACACAGTGAAACAGTATTATGCACTGGATGACAAAGTTTCGAACAAAATTTATTGCTGTTCATAATCATTTCATCAATTGTAATCACATGACTTTGAGACTTGAGTTTTATGGTAATTTTGTTTTCTCCTATTTGTCGTCGTTGGGGTAGTAGAATTTTCCAGATATCTGGACGGACAGGTGTTGAATCATTCCTATTACATGTATTTGCAGTTGATTCGATAAACAAAGCTTCTGTTATCAATCTCTCCCTATACCCTGTGACATTACATTTCAAAACTGTCATCCTATCTCATCCTATTTGTATGGTTGTGTATGATTGCATGCAGTGGTATAGCTGGACTATTCTCTAGATTTCTTATCTTACTTGGGTCAACCAATCTAGATTTTCCTAGGTTTTTATGCTCGGCTAGTCTGTCTACCACTGATCTACTAGTTTGACATATGTATTTAACCTGACAATCATTGTAGGCAGGGTATTAGATAAACTAAATTGTTTTGCTTTAAAGGCTCTACAGGATTGATCCTTTAACCGTCAAAGCTTGTTTCTAATTGAGTTTGTGGGTTTGTCGGTTAACGGATCCTGTGGAGCCTTTAAAACAAAACAACTTAGTTTATCTAATACCCAACTGGAATGATTGTCAGGTCAAATACATAGGTCAGACTAGTAGAACAGGGACAGCCAGACTAGCTGAACATAAAAACGTAGGAAAATCTAGATTGGTTGACCCAAATGAGATAAGAAATCCAGTGAATAGTTCAGCTATAACGCTCACTACATGCGGTTACACACAATCATACAATAGGATGGGATAGGATGACAGTTTTAAAATCTAATGTCACAGGGTATAGGGAGAGATTGATGACCGAAGCTTTGTTTATCGAATCAACTGCAAATACATGTAATAGGAACGATTCAACACCTGTCCCTGATATTTGGAAAATTCTACTACCCCAACGACGACAAATAGGAGAAAACAAAATTACCGTAAAACTCAAGTCTCAAAATCATGTGATTACAGTTGATGCAATGATTATGAACAGCAATAAATTTTGTTCGAAACTTTGTCGTCCAGTGCATAATACTGTTTCACTGTGTGATATATGTAATAAACAAACTAATTTGGCAGTATTTTGTATTGCGTGTAACTTTAGCGTTATTTATAGTGTCAGGGAGTTCAACTAGCAAGTGGTATGGAAGCTTCATGACTCTTAAGAAGGTGATGACAAAAATTCCAAAACTCCATATATCAATAAAATGAGATTTACAAATCGTAAATTTTAGAAACACGTATTAAGAGAGAGAGAAAGAGATACACGCAAAGGTGATACACGGACTACTGAATTTTTATTCTTGTGTGTTCTGAGTGGAAAGCTGGAATTCAGCAACCCCTTTTTAGCTGTCTTCACGACTATCCATAAGCTTTGCTTAATTCCTTGTATGATCTCCCCTATGTCAACTCTCCATTGCCCATTTGCCTCCCACTAGATGCGTGGGTCATGATGTCACAACACTATCTCTTCAGCTTATGTTTAGTTCATCTTCATTTTCTTTGGCGTATTTGTTACAATGCTTACCTGGTTGGTTCATCACACTGAAGAGTTCTACGTCGCCAGGCCTTTCTGGCAACGCGCAGAGAGGGCAACTATTTATAAAAGTCTGCAGTGGGCTTTCCGGAATGCTTTTGATGACGGGCTAACTCTCTGAACCAGATTTTGTCCTTAAAGCTAAATGCAGTAGGTTTCTACACCGATTTCGGATGAATAGAGGTCTGTCTTACGTTCCTGACCCCAGATGGCCTTGACACCCTCATCTTCTCCGCCTGTAATTGAAACAATGCTGTCTAGATAAGTGTAAAAGGTGACTGTTACATGACCTAATCAATCACAACAGAAAAATCATCGGTGATAGGTTGTCTTGTCTAATTCATTCTTCACTTCAAATAGTTCATTGAGCTTTAGGTTGTGAGCCATTTTGGCTTATGACATCATCGTGCAGCTGTTGAACAAAATTTGCATATGTGTTGTGGCAGTGGATTTTGTTGTGTTGAAGTAGTTTCAGAATCACCTCATGGTTAAATCGATGAATTTCAGTGCCATTCTATGCTCTGTTTGATGATAATGAAGAGCATGTGATTTACCTTCCCTGAGTCAAGCTTATCCCACGTGCAGTTTTATATCCAGAAAAAAGGTGGGAATCACAATGGTAAGATGGTGAGAAAATCAATATTTTCAGGAAGAAGAACGCATAAAAATTCTCGGCTATTCTGCTTACATTCTCCTAAATTATTCATGTAAATAGAAATTAGTGCTTTTCATCTGTTAAGCTGGCATAAAATTCGCTTTGATTTAACTCTTACGCCTAATAATTTCACAAATTCAGCTATTTTGATATAGGAGGTAATGGTCACCGATTCGTTATTATTATTATCTTTTTGATCACAAGACGAAACTAAGGTATTCTTGCAGTTTTATTATTCCCTCAGATTAAAATTAATTGTTGTCTTTCTTGTATCCATTTTAGGGGTAACATTAATCGTGGTTTACAAAGAGTTGCTACTGAACTAAACAGAATGTTGATAGTTGGTTAATTTTATTGTTCTTTTTTATTTAAATATACACAGTATCGACAGACAGTCAGTAGGAAATTGAGACAGTATGACTGAAAGAGGTATTTGTAGAATTTAAAATCAGATACAAGAATCTAGCAGTGATCAGACACTCAGATTAGTGATGACACTGCACACTTAATTGACAGAACCCAATCAGTACCTTACTATGGAATAGACCAGCTAAAGTAGTTAGTTACTGAGTAATATGTTCAAACGTTTTGTCTGCAATTTTGTAGGATTTTCATTAATTTCATTGAAGATATCGTCATAAACTGAAATCATCTAGAAATTCATTAAGAAATAGGGATCAGAAGACACTACTTTTGTTCAAGTCTGGAACTCTTCAACAGCGCGAACATAGAATTCTACCACGTAATTATTGCAGAATCATCAGCCACTGGCTTAGAATTCATTAAGTAATGCGTTATAACTTTGTCTGTTGGTGAAACAGTGTCACCGGAAGAATTCATGACCTTACCTAAAGATATGTTGGGATAAGTACAGCCTGATTTGAACTACAGAAACTACTGAAAAATCTTAAAAATTGACAATGTCATTTAAATTTACTGCATCATTATTTATTTCTCCCTTGAACTCTTTCTTGAGTTCATGAATGAGTGAATTCTGGCCCATGTGTCTCAATAGTCAATTATTTTAAACTCGTTATGTGAAGATCCCAGGTGTGATCTCTGGTACAGTCCTGGTGTGTGTGGGGGGTACACTGCTATGCATATAATCCCCTTGATTATTATCCATAAATTCATGTATTTGATGTGTGATTCTATTAATCACATCAGCGTGAAATGCAGTCAATGCTAAATTCTATTATGTAGTCATAAATAAAGCATGATCAATACTCGATACACTGTGCGCATAAGAAACAGGTTCAGTCAGTATTGCTACTACCATTTTCCTCCGTGGAATCCATAAACTTGAACAAAATGACAAGATGTAATTTGCCTGAAACGTGAGTTGTATTTGCGCATCACACTTTTGATATTCGGATCACAGACACACGTGATTATCACATATATTTATGTAGAAGACAGCAGAGGATAACGAATCACAGTTTTTATAAATATAGGTCAAAGTCTCAGATAAGAGATAGGAAGACGAAATAATAAAAAAAATATGGGATAAGAGAAAGGCGGTAAGTATATTATGAAGTAAATTGAACACTGGTTCTAAAATTAGATTTCCAAGGCAGGTTTCGAGTAATGAAGAATAATATTTAGCCACACAAAACAGCATTTAACCTTTTTTGTCGGTAAGATTTCTACTAATTAAAGTAAGTGACTCAAAATTGTTTTGTATATGTGTTTAGAGGCGTTACTTAAATTGACCTAATGACCCTGCGATAGATGATAATGGATGTCTATTTCCAGGATTAATAGTACCCGGTGATTTTATTTTTTGTTGCAGCCACTTTAGAATATTTTCTGTAGCTCTTACCTGCGCAGACTGATGCGACCTCAAAGTGTACATAGGACCATACATACATGTAAATTGGTAAACACAATGTGTTGTGACATTGTCGTTCAGATGTTATGGAAAGGTGGCTTATGAGGCTACACAAATCTCGGTTTCCCCATGAAAATGGGTTTAGCTGAATTATTTAGTATTATTGTTCCCTTGGTTTCCTAGTGGAACATAAGGCTTCAACTGCACGTCTCCACTTGCCACTTCTGTCTTTTGCTGTACTTTTCACCTGCATCCATGTTAGCCCATATTGACTGTTTCAACTCCTCTCTATTCACACGATCTCATCCATGTCACCCTTGCACTGACGTCCCACTCACCGCGTGCTTCCATTTCGGCCTGGTTCCACTCGCGCAATGGCCTAATGCGCCTGCGATGTCACCCAGTGGCCTCCTCAGCAAGTGTCCAATCCATCTCCACTTTCTCCTGCATATCTGTTGGTTGGCGATTGGTTCTTGTTTTGTTTGTTCCCATAGTTTCCTGTTGTTGGTGATTCTTTCCGGCCCGGCCATCAGATCTCCAGTATAGAGCCAGCGAAGACTGTTGTTGATAAAGGTCTGCATGCAACAGGCTGTTGGAAATATTCTTTGTGACCCGCCCACCAGCCAAGTTTCTGATCCGTATAGAAGAACTGACTTGACGTTTGTATTGAATATCCGACTGAATTTTGTTGTTGATGCTGGCTGAGTGACGAAGATTTCCAGATTGGTTTCATGTTGATGAATTTGTGCGTTTCTCGCCTTCCCGATTCTCGCTCGATTTGACATCCTCGTCCGTTTCTCCTGTAGTTGAGACAATGCTGAATGCTAAGTAGGTGAAAAAATGAAGTAACCTCTTTCAAATCCCTCCCATTGATGGTGATTGGCGCTGGATGTTGCTGCTGTTGTTGTTGTTGGTTGGTTATTTTCATCACCTCCGTCTTGCCTACGTTCACATGGAGTCCTGTCTTCGCCGGCTGCTTCTTCGACCAGTTTGTCTGTTTCCGCTTGCCTCTAAGTCTTCGATTTTGTGTGACATCAAACATAAATCATCCACCCGCGACATCCAGGTCTTTTAAGTTCTTCACGTTGGTCCGTCCAGGATATCCCTGTCTTCTCCTTCCCCACTTATTGTCTGACGCATAATCCAGTCAGTCCACGACAATTAGGAATATCATTGGTGACAATAAGCCAGCACCCTTGTCTGACTCCTGTGTTTATTCCAAACGTCTCGCTGAGTGGGTTTTCCGTTGTGGATGACTTGACATGTGCCGTTGTCGTACAGCTGTTGAATAAGATTGATGAATATTTGAATATATATACGCCGTAGTACTCGAGTAGTTTCCAAATTACTTCGCGGTCAACGCTGTTTGTCGAAGGCCTTCTCGAAATCTATAAAGTTGAGGTAGAGGTTTTATTGCGATTCCATGCCTTGTTCTGTGATGACGATGATGCGTAGAGTTGCAATTTGATCAGAACATGGTTTGTCTGACTTTCCTGAATCCAGCTTGTTCTGGTCTGGCGGAGTTCTGTATTCAATGCGTCCTTTATTCTCTCCAGGATGATGCAACTCAGGATTTTACTTGGCGTCGATAGGAGCATGATTCCTCGCCAGTTCTTGTAGAGTCCTAAGTCGTTAACTGAATGGTAAGTTCTATTAATTGGCAATTTTAAGTCTTCATTTCGTGATCAGACATTTTTGATTAATCTTAAACAGTAAGAGTGATACAAAGATCCCTTTTGAGAGCTGAATGGATCGATGGATCCCTTTGTTGGATACTTTTGTAGCGTTTCATCAATTTCAAGGGATAATTGTTATTTGATAATGTTTTCTAATGATAGCAAATCATCAAAAAGAAAATACGTATTTGCAATAAACTGTACGATGTAAAACCAAATTCATTAACGTAGTTTCATTATCAATCTCATTCTCTATATGATTATTATTTAATCTTATTGCACTTGTTATTGCTTTTCTGTTTAGACAAAAAACGCATATTATGTGATGGTCACACCATATATGCTTACACTAATTTATGTACTGAATTGTTGATAAATACAAATAGAAATGACTATATAAATGCCTGTAATCCTTAAACAAATTTACTTCAATAGCTAAACTATATAGACTAAACTATTAAGCTGAACAGAAATGAAGCTGCTGTGCTTTTGTTTATTATCAGTCATTCCATCATTAACTCTATGTGGTCAGTACAATTATAATTACAACGATAATTATCAGACTAGACCAAATAACGCTTACAAATCGAATCAGTATAATAACGTCAATAATTACAACAGTGATAATAATAATAATTACAATTATAATAATAATAAGAATTATAACTATAATGATTATTACGCTAATCAAAAGCCAAGACAAGAAAAATTAACACGAAGATATACAATTGAAGGTGAAGCAAGGCATACGCATAATAAACACGGAGAGAATCATTTAAAAGCGTTTGGCGCAATGTTTGGTTTCGGTGAAACTTATCAAACCTCTGATTATACACAAGCAACAACATTTCATAGTGGAAGTATATACGGGAAAAATGGTAAAAAGCGTAAATTTTCCACCTATGATACAGAAGGTGAAGTGAAACATAATCAAAAGTCGAAAGGAAGAGCCAAATTGAAAATGTATGCTAATCTCTATGGTCATGAAAGAGTTGAAGATAAGAAAGATGTTAAAGCTATAGTAACTTATGAAAATGATGGCAGTCCTAGTGAAGATGATGTAGCGAATTATTCGCCTACAGAACATCCATATGGTAAATTAGAAGATTATCAAACACCAAGTTATACTTCAGACAATACAAAGCTAAAATATTGAATGTATATACACATTTATATATTTATATTTATGAGAATACTTAAATAAATTTTCTATAAATAACCTTTTTCTATTTACTGCTCATAAGTAACATATTGAAGAATGATAAATTAGGTCTGCATACTTAAATTTCAGTAGGGAAGTTGTAGCTTCGAAAAATGCTATCCCTATTCAAGGCCCAGTAATCAGGTAGTAAAATCCATTGTACAATATTGAATATTACCTCTTGAACAGACACTCAGATATACTTCACTTGTCGATACCTATTAAAACTTGATTTTCCAAATAATGCTAAGTAAAATTGTTAGTCGATTAATAGAATGATAGGAGCTAATGAGATGAGTTTTAATCCTTTTCTATGAGTGAGGCCTTGCCATTCATTCACATTGAAGCTTATTTGGCATAAAACTAAATCAATAAAGAGTAGACCAAGGCTTTCATTATTCAAAAAGTTTTGATTAACTCCCTGAGCAAGTTAATATTCGCACCAAAAATCCTCATGAAAACGAAGAGCATACATTTAATTTGGAAGAAAGGCATTCAAGTTTCTTTCATCAAAATGTGTATATTTTCATATTGGTTTGTTTATTAGATGGATCAAACAGTAAGTGATATAGTATTATTTACTGGATGACGTTTCGAACAAAATTTATTCTTCATAATCATTGCATCAATTGTAATCACACGACTTTGAAACTTGAGTTTTATAGTTTTATTTGTTTTCTCCAATTTGTCGTCATTGGGTAGTAGAATTTTCCAGATATCAGCGACAGGTGATGAATCATTCCTATTACATGCATTTGCAGTTGATTCGATAACACAAAGCTTCTGTTATCAATCTCTCCCTCCATCCTGGTTCTACATTAGATTTTAAAACTGTCATCCTATCCCATCCTATTGTGTGGTTGTATGTAATTGCATGTAGTGAGTGCTAAAGCTGAACTTGAAACCTAATAATTACCCTGATAAATTAGTCAGGAAATATGTAGGGAAATGTAAAAATATAATAAACAATGATAGTAGTGATAGTGATAATAATAATAACAATAATAATAATAATTATGACGACATGCATGTCGAATATGCGCAAGACAACACCAACAATAAGGAAACTAAATCATCAACAGTAATTCCATACAAGAAAGGAACCTCGGAAGCCTTACGCAGAATTCTTAACAAGGCAGGAATAAAAGTGGCTTGCATTCAAAACCACAAACTCAATTAGAAACAAGCTTTGTCGGTTAATAGAAAATCCTATGAAGCCTTTAAAACGAAACGGTTTAGCCTATCTAATACCCTGCAATGATTGTCAGGTCAGATACATAGGTCAAACTAGTGGAACAGGGGCAGTCAGACTAGCCGAACATAAAAACCTAGCAGCAAAATCTAGTTTAGTTGACCCGAATAAGGTAAGAAATCTAGAGAATAGCTTAGTTATAGCACTACATGAAATTAGAAACAATCATACAATAGGATGACGCGATACGATGACAGTTTTAAAATCTAATGTCACAGGGTGGGGGGAGAGATTGATGACAACGGAAGCCTTGTTTATCAAATCACCTGGAAAAAGATGTAATAGGAATGATTCAATACCTATTTATCCAGACATCTGGAAAATTCTACTACCCCCACGACAAATAGAAGAAAACAAAGAAAACTATAAAACTCAAGTTTCGAAGTCGTGTGATTACAATTGATGCAATGATTATGAACAATGAAATTTGTTCGAAACGTCATCTAGTAAGTAATACTCTTTCGTTGTGTGGTACATTTAATAAACAAACTAATATGGAATTACTCACTACCACAGTGCCCAAGTTGTACACATATATTAATGTGTATAATTCTTTCAAACCCCATCTTACCTGAGCTTTGGGATTCCTACAAATTCTCTACTTATAAAAAAACATATATTAGTTCGAATTTCCCCTTTTGTTTTAATCTATTCAACATGCGCACTCATCACCTTATTTTCACTCGCGCCATTTAAAAAGCATTGCAACCTACGTTTCTTCATGTTCCCTTCAAACTCCGTCACTCAAATTATTGTATACAGTGATGCCAATCATAAGCTAAATTTTAGTAGTGCTTACTACTGTAGTCATACTATTTTGAGGTTTGAAAAGCATTTATGAAATTATTTAGTATTCTCTAGGTATCTATATTTCGTTACGGTTGATTCATCACCAAACTTGAAATCATTTTCAGAACTCACCTCGTTTTTTGTTTTCATTTTTAAACTGTGACCGTTCAGTAAATGCGTCATGCCGTTCATTTCATTTCGCGATATTTCTCTTCAGCTGCATACAACTTGCAACATTTGATACAACCAGTTATAGTCAAAATTCTAGCCTACTTTTATTTATCAGTAAAAGTCGCTTTTGTGGTAAGAAATATTGTAACAATATCATTGCGAAATAACACATAATGATACCTGTCAGTAAGGGATATAAAGATATATTCAACACAATCTATTTTTACAACAAGTAAAAACCAAGTCACTAATAATATTTAGAAAAAATTTCACAAGCAATAATTTGGTAATAATTCTTTGGAAATAGAACAAGACAGTTAACACAATGAACCGCTTTCAAAGAAATCATAACTGAGTTTTCATAGAATTTTTAACTTCTACTAGTTATATCAACTTCTGTAAAATAAACGATCCTACTGAACTGTTAGGAAAACATTAGTTAAGAAAGTGAAAGAATAAATAGAGGCATAAATAGATTTTGTTTGACCTTCCTCAAACCATGAAGGGAGGTACTTAGTAATGAGTTTTTAATCTGTTTAGTTGTTCGTCATATATACATTATTCCACAGGAGCAGCTAAATTGGTCAATTCAGAGAAAATTAACACAGCCAAATAGTTTATCGTTTATCTGAGGAATGATAATTGTTTGGCTAGAAATCGATAAACGACACTGCCTAGGTTTCGTGTAAGTTGGCACTCACCAGTCAGCACGGCATATCTGTAACCAACTTGAAGGAACTGATGTCCCTTCTGAGATTCAAACCCGCATCATCCAGTGCCGCCTGCAGTCAGAGATGTTACCACCGTTGAGCTATTCAGGCGTGCGATTGACCTCCTGTAGGACTGTATTGGATATTTTCGATTGCACACTAGTCACTAACTAGTGTAGTATGTCTAGTCCTATCTTCGATGCAGACTGAATTCTATCAGTCAGGTGTGCAATGCGGCCACCAAACCACTAGGTAGCTCGCCATCCCTGTGCATATTGATTCGATGAAATTAGATGGTTGGGTGCAATCGGCAGGAAGCTTTGGACATGGGTTTCGTGATAGATGGTACTCATCAGTCAGCAAGGCATATCTGCAACAACTTTTTCTCTTCTTAACCGTAGTTACTTTGAGTTTACTGCAGACAGTGTTTGTGCGTCTCTTTATAAATCTATTCAGGTAACTCATTTTGACCAGTGTATGATGGATATCTTCAGGTTCGTTATCCAAGGAATCATCCGTACAGATCTTTTCTGACCTATTGGTGAAGCATTTAGCAAAAGCGGTTTATTGGTGAATGAGTATGAAACTAAGGGAATGTGTATATAATCCTAAAAATGTAGTGTTTCTATACATATCTCTCTTTTGAGCTGATTACCTAACCTTTTTCTCGACTAAACAGCAAGAAAATGTAATTTACTATCATGTCATTCTTCACAAGTGAAAATGAGTGATTGATATACACGGGGTAAGTTTCATAAGTAGACTTTTTTTGCCAATATTATAACCACATAAAGAATTCAATTAATCTTCTGCGTGTTTAAATGGACCGTTTCAATTCGGAAATAAGTGGAAGGAAGACTGACTGACAGATGGAATGTGGAATAATTCGGAAGAGTATAAGCTGTTTGAAGATACATCTCAGCATAAGTAATACCTTAAACCGGTAATGTGGGAAAAGTAGTTTAAACTGGCAAAAGCCAGATGGGATGTGAGTAAATACTGTAACGTAGTTTATAGCAAAGTCAAGTGGTTTTAATTTTTTTGTATTGCATAGGTTTGATTTATTTTGATAATTGTGATCTCACTTAAAATCAGTCGAATCCTAGCAGAATAACACTTCAAAATTAACTAATGTTCACTAGAGATTGACTACAGAAGTAGTGATCAGTGGGGAGGAGACATACTCATTAAGGTCGAATTTGCGAAAGTTGGAAATCATGGGCCATTGGACTCATTCTCAGTAGCTGAATAAACAACAAGGCTAACCTTGTGATTATCCTAGATTAAATCCATAGGGGGGATCAACAGCACGTATAGAATTAGAACGATGCAGTTGTTCACTTCTTCTTGTTTTCTAACGGTTCTCTAACTAATTTCATTGCGCGATTTAACATGAAGCAATTTTAATTGAATTACAAAGAAATTCCACAACTTCCTGGCAAGAAAAGCCAGAGAAATGAGAGTTTTATGTAATTGAGTAAATGTAGCGTACTAATCGAAAAGCACGTCTTGTATTACTATCTTATTATTATAATCTTGTTGACTGACAATACCTATAACTATCTGTTTGACATTTTGTGACTATTTAACACTAGCTAATATCTATAATTGTATGTATAGTTGGACCTACGTGCCCAAATTTACGCATGTCACTGAGTTTGTGGTTTTGATATCATTTTTGTTAACCATATTTGACAGTGACACCACTGCCATGCGTTTTTTTTGGAGACTAATAGAAGAGAAAAGAATAGTGAAACAAAAGATTATCCAGTGCACCAATGAGCAACAAAAACAGGAATTTAATGCAAGCTACAATACACTAAACAAAAGAAAATAGAAAAGTGCTGGGGAAGACAAAAGAAAATATTATGAAGCAATGGCATGTGAAGCAGAACAAGCTGCAACATTCTACCAAACAACTAGGTTCCTATCGGGGGATAGTTCGACATAAACTAAGCCAGTGAAGGATGACAGTGTAAAGCCAATCACCAAAGAGGTGGAGCAAACGAAACACTGGGCTGAACACTTCAAAGGACTTCCAAATCGACCGCCACATACAACGCACCAAATAATACCAAAAGTGGAAGCATAACTACCAATGGACACAAACCCCCGACGAGAACAGAAGCCACAAAGGCGATCAAGTTGCTGAAGTATGGAAAAGCAGCAGGACAATATGGAATCCCAGCAGAAACATTTAAAAATGAACCCAGAGACATCAGCGGACTTGATGTCACCACTACTGGAGGAGATCTGGAAAGAGGGCAAGGTACCCGATGATTGGAAGAAAGGCTACTTATTCAAACTGCCAAAGAAAGGAGACTTAGGTCAGTGCAACAAACTGGAGCGGCATTGTGCTCCTTTCCATCTCAAGCGAAATATTAAGCCGTGTCATCCTGGAGAAAATCAAACACGCCGACCCGGACGATAAACTTCGACCGGAACAGGCTCGATTCAGGAGGAACACGTCGTGCATCGGTCTAATCGCAACACTACGGATCATCATTGAACAAAGCTTGGAATGGTAGTCAGCTCTCTATCTCGAATTCATTAACTCTGAAAAGGCCTTCAACAGAAAGCTACTACTCCGCTACTACGGGGTGCTGCTAATAATTATACATCTCATCCAACAGTTGTACGACAATGCCGCATACCAAGTAACCCTCAATGGGAAACTCACGGAATCCTTCTGAGTGAAGACAGCAGTAAAACAAGTTGGCTGGCTGGCCGCTTACTGTCTCCTATGATTTTGCTGATTGAGGTAGACTGGATAATTTGACAAACAGACAGCGGGCAGCGAGGAGACAGGCATAAATAGAACCCACACAAAAAACTTGGAGGTTCTGGATTTCACCGATGATATATGTCTGATTTCCCACAGATTGGAAGATATGCAAGTGAAAAGCAACAAGTTCGCAGAATAAGCATCCAGAGAAGATAGGACTTCAGGTGAACATAGAGAAGACAGAGATGATGAAGATTCCTGGCCAACAGCGACCACAACAGACGACAACCAGCATAAATGAGAGGAATGTGAAAGAAGTAACTTTCTTCAACTACCTACCTGGGAAGCATCGTTTCAAATACAGACGGACAGAACTGACGAGGATATCAAAGCGAGGATCGAGGAAGCAAGCTATTATTTCTTTAAAGTCTATGTGGAGGTCTACAGCACTCAGCATGCAAAATAAGATCCGTTTGTTGAACTCCAATGTGAAGCCAATGCTACGATATGGATCAGAGAATTGACGTGTCATAAAGAGCACATCAAACAAACTACAGACCTTCATCAACAGCTTCAAATCTTTGCTTATTACTACTCATGATCAGATGTCCAGAAAAGATCAGCAACAGGGAAGGATCTTTGGAAATGAACGGATCAACCAACCAACTCAGCAGGAAGCAATTATACAACAAATAAGCAGGAATAAATGGAAGTGGATTGGTCATACGCTGAGAAAACCATCAATTGAAATCAATCATACGCCAGGCCACCGCTCGAGTGGAACCCAAACGGGGAGCGGCGAGTTGGTCGTCAGTGTGAGGGTGACATGGAGTAGGTGGTGTGAAGGGGAGATAAAAGGATGTGGTCAGACGTGGAGCGAGGCAAAAATGTTGGCGGTGAACCGAACGCAATGGAAACGTATGGCTGAAGCCCCATGTTCCTCTAAAAACTAAAGGATACGATAATAATACATAATAATAATTTTAATTGATAGCCACGTCTACTCTTTGAATTTCATTAATAAGGTGAACAGCTTACTTCCTGACTATTAAAACTAAGGAGGTTATAGAAGCGTTAATATAGGCTTAATAAATACAACCAGCAGTGCTTAATTATGCTTGAGGGCTGGTATAGATCCTGAGATAATATGTTAAACCATTAGAATGTTTGCTTCGCGTCATATTTAGACAACTGCGTAATTGATAACATCAGTACGATATGCTTTTATTTAAGTAAAAAGCATATATTGGATTGATTTTAACTTGATGCACTTAGTGTTATACGCAGTCATACGGTTAAGAAAATGAAACAGTGTTATATTATTTCATAGAATATCATTCAGCATGTATATAAATAGTACGAAAACATACAACATAAATAATTGTAACTGAGAAATATTACACAAATATGCTGCACCGTCCGTGTTATTGTCTATCTTTGATTTCTGCAGTGTTTCTTATCTCAACTCGTCTATGTTCTGGCTTCCATAGGCATGGAATAGACGAAGCATTTGACCACTCAAAAGAAGCTTCATATTTTCCACTGGATGCAATCCATCGCGATGCTCAGTATGATCATACACCTGGTGGTCACGGCAGTGGTTATGGAGATGACTACGGTGAATATAGTGCAGGATATGGACAACACGGTCATGATGATTATGAGGCTAGTCTAGCAGATAATTCTATCGCAAAATTAAAAGAAATTCATGCAGGAACAGGTGGTAGTGGTGGTGGTGGTGAGCATTACTCAGATGACGGTGGATATGACGATTACAATGAACATGGAGGCTATTAATATTATAAAATGCAGAGTTGTTGAACACTGCATCACTCATGTTATCTAAATATTAAGTATATACATATAAAAATAATGTTACTGCAAAAGATACTTTCAGCCCTGTCATACTTTTTTACACTCAAATAAATCTATTAAATTTTGATTTTTTTTTAAATAAATATTATTTATACTAAATTATGCACCGGTTTCTTTTCGCAACTATATGGTGTCACAGAAAAGTGAAATGCAAAACGAAAAAACCTGTTGTTCAATATATACGTGGTTCCTGTTTGTTAAAACAAAGAACGAACTATTAAATTTGAGGCTCGATTTGCATAAAACCGTTTTCACTTGGCAGTATTTGCATACTTTAGACCGTAAAGCATTATTAATATTATTATTCCCTTGGGTTCCGACTAGAGTATAGATAGGTTGCATTAAGATATCTCCATTTCACGTTGTTCTCTGTAGTCTTTTCGTTTTGTTTGGCGCTACGGTCCTTTGCACAGAGAAATCGTGCAACATCGAGTTAGTAATGTCTTTGATTTTATTTCTAAAATATCCGAGACTAATGTGAGGTATAAACGCATGTTATCCATGGATGTATCATCACTATTCACTAACGTACCGCTTATGGAAACAGTTGATTATATTTGTCAAGAAATCACCGATAGGCAATTAGACTTAGGAATCCTCTTGTGTAGCCTAAAAGAATTACTTCTTAAATGCACAATCAGTGTTCACTTTGTCTTCAATAATTCATACTATCGACAAGTAGATGGAATAGCTATGGGTTCACCATTAGGCCCAATATTAGCTAACTTCTTTCTCGCAAAACTTGAAAACGGGAAATTGAAGGACATCATCAAGGAGTTTGATATGTATTACCGATATTTCGATGATACATATATCTTAGCTGATGAGAATGTTAACATAGACGAATTGTTGCTGAAATTCAACAACATCCACCCTTCGCTTACCCTTACTTGTGAAGAGAAGCAGGAGAATAAACTACATTTCCTGGATTTATTGCTAAATAGGAGAGAAGATGGGTCACTTGGGAGAAGTGTGTACAGAAAAAGCACATTCGCAGGGGCAATACACACACTTCCTTAGCTACGCGCCCATTAAATATAAAAGGAATGTTGTAAAATGTCTCGCGAGCAGGGCACGGAAGATATGTACGGATGACCTCTTACAAAAGTAATTTGAATATATTCACGATTTCTTCACGGAGATGGGCTATCCGAGTAGTTTCATAAGGAAACATATGAAAACAGCAGAGAAAAAACCTGAGACATCTGACTGCACGTAAGAAACCTCTATTTATCAAGTTACAATTTAATGCTGACTTATCAAGTGAGATTCTATTCCAAAGACTTTCAAGGAGTATACGAAGAACATTTTACGCAGCACACCTATGTTTGTCATTCTCTAGCCGACGAATGATTGGGATGCAAACTAAGGATAGGCTTGATAGTTTCGCCACATCTACGTGTATTTATCAATTCAACTGCACCTGTGGTGACAGTTATGTTGGACGCACTACTAGACAGCTTAGCCAACGTGTTAGTGAACATCTCCCATCGTGGTTTGGCAAAGAACAGACAAAAACAATCCGTAGCTCGATTCTGTCACATTTAATTAGTAGTGGTCATGTATTGGAGAAAACGAAAGCCCTCCCACCGAATCTTTCTAATAGACTTCGTATTCGTCTACTGCACATAGCTGAGGCGATAGGCATTCGAACTATTAAACCTAAACTATGCATTCAAAAGAAGTTCGTACAGCCATTATCCCTCGCTTGTTGGCCTATTAAGACATAACCAACTATAGAATTCTACACCGCCTCTTATTGAAATTTCCAACCCTTTCTTATCATCCCTTAATCTTATCACATCTTCATCATAAACGTGTTTCATTTCCTTCCCTTACAATCTAACATTACTTAATCGGTTCATTGGTTTTTACTGGCCTTTATCGACGACTTCCACCTGAACATTTGTTTGTTTAATCATGCTGTTTTTTTCATTATTCGTGATATCACAGATTGCCTCACTTCTTCATCCGTATTATTGATAGGACCATTATTATTATCATTACTACTATTATGACTAATTGCACAATTTACCTTCACCGTCGTATTATCCTGTAGACAAAACACCATGATTTGTTTAATATTAGAATTTTTATTTGTAAACTTATGTATATATATTAGAGTTAAGCCTGATGAGATCTAATTGAAACCACAATATTGTTCGCTTAAATGTGTTGTTCTGAATATGTATGAATTGAAAAGTGGAAAACACGATAAAAGTAGTGTGTTATGAAAAAATCATTTATTACTAGGTAGGTAGGTAGTTTTTTGATGCAGGGATGAGAGCATACGGGAATATTTTTTATCAGTCGAATACCTGAAGGAAGTAATACAGGAAAAGACAGTCTTCACAAACGCTGGAAAGACTATTTGTTATGATTCTTACAGACATTATAATGTAATTTAAAGTGAGATGTATTTGTTTATTACTTATCAGCAAGAAATCCAGATTGGCTAGAGATGAAGCTTTGACAGTCGCGTACACCATAAACTATGGGTATGACTTCTTCTAAGTAAGTAGTTAGCAAGGTAATTCATACGCGCGCGATCCCAAGAGAAACTGTTGTTTCAAATTACCGTACCATATTAGAGTATTTGAATAACCTAAGACTATTTGACAATAATCTAAAACTGAATACTGAAGGAGTCATATATTTGAAGTCATCCAAATACTGGTGGTAAATCCTACAATTTGACATAACGATTTATGTTTCACATCTTCGCAGAATAGACGCTTCCCTGTAAAGCCAGCCAAAAATGCATATTCATGAACGAATCCCATTCGAACATTAATAGACAAAAGACAAATAGTTCAGTGAAGAGTTTCTTTTCATTTTCATAGCTGTACAACCGCAAATATATATGGTTATTTGTGTGTGTGTGTATACATTAAATTTGGCAAACGAAAATACAATTAGTAATTTCAAATGAATTGGATGTTGATAAGACGATAGTAACAAAAGTGATGAGTTGTCAAAAAGTTCTGCTGATCTGCAGAAGCCAAAAAGACAAGATCTCGCAACTGATGACTTCTATTTGTATACATATCAGTTCACCTGTTGCTGTGGAGCCAGGCACATCAGTCGTTCAACGCGCATCCTGTCAAAAAGGGTCAAAGAACACTATCCAGTGTGGCTGCAGAAAGGAAGTAATGGCCGTATTAGGACTACAATAATCATACATCTCGTCACCACTGGTTATTCCTCTTCAACAAATGCCTCCTTTGAAGTAATCTACAAAGTGAAGAACAGCCTACCAGAGACAATACGTCTCCGTCTTCTTTGCACTTCGGAAGCCCTAGCCATTCAGTTAGAAGAACCAGAACTATGCATACAAAAGAAAATTATTCAACCACTTCTACTATCATGGTAACAACTCTGTTGATTTGACTTGACGTTTGTTTGTTTGATTTGACCTTACTTTTGTTTGTATGTTTATTTTTTTAACTACTTTAAACCCTTTAAATGAATTTTAGATTTTCCTGTAGATTGATTCGACCGAAGTGCTCGGTCTCAGGTTTACATGTCGGCTTCTTGAGCAGATGCTTTGACGATATCTGGGCATTTAATTAGTACTGACCGAGCACTGAGGCCAAGCACTTCAATCCAATTAATCGACGGGAAAATCTAATATTCAACTAAATTAATATGACTCGTTGCACAAGAGGTGGCTCTCGTGGCCCAAGTGGTCTGATGGATAACGCTTTCAGGTTTGAAACTATGGGCACTTGGTTCGAGCCTCAGTGGGAACATCATCACTCACTGAGAAATGCCTGTACATCCAGCTGACAAGTCCTAAATAGGACGAAATGCGCATCCTGGATTCCACTGCTAGTCACCATCCACCAATTAAATACTTAAAACCCTTGTGTAATTCTGTATATTATTTTGTTTCCATGTCTACCCTGGGCACAACTCTTTCATCAAACTATTCACGCCATCACGTTACTCTTATTTAGCAATCATTTATGACAACTCATCACTTTTGTTACTATCGTCTTATCAACATTCAATTCATTTGAACTTACTAAGTGTATTTTCTTTTGACAAATTAAATATATATATATATATATATATATATATATATATATACAAAATAACCATGTATATTTGCGATTGTACAGCTATGAAAATGAATTCGCCGGCGAAAAGAGACTCTTCGCTGAACTACTTGTCTTTTGTCTAAAAATGCATATATTAGTTGAAAAGTATACAAGGAATACTTTATACTCATAGTTTTTGGGTCAGCCCTGTCATGATGTGCAGTCAAAAAGAACTAAGAATATAAATTCATTGGAGTTAGATGTGATAAACATTGAAGACTGTAGTGCTGAAACAAAAGCTTCTTAATATCTGAGAAAAATACTTCTTTCAGCAATATATCGTCACTCCTGTTTGATGTCATTACACGTATCCAGATAGAAACATACATATCGTATACATTTTTACTGCTAGTTTGTATGTAGAGTTGGGAATAATCTCCCATAAACAGTAGTATGTATTGTGTAGAATTCTGTTAGGTGAATTAAGTCCCTTTTTCTGCCTCACATGTCCTGAACACTATAGTTGAAAGTAGTATACTTAGGAACTCTTTGTTTTCAACTTCAGCCTACCTAATATAGGGAGGTTTTAGAATTCACCTGACCGGTACAGATTTCCATATACCAAGAAGCCATGAGGCACACTTATTTTGTGCGTCGGTGGTACAGTGGTTAGGACTCTCGCCGACCATGCACATGGTCCGGGGTTCGAGCCCTCGCCGACGCACACCTGATATCTATGGTCGGCCTGCAAAATTTGGGCTACCGATATCCATGCTGAAAATTCCATACTTGTACCAAAAATACAGTGTGGAATCAAGCTGTAATCAAAAATAAAAATAAAATAAAAAAATAAGTGTAGCACAATTCTAACCCTGAATCTAGGAAATAAAAACAGAGTACCCCATAGGATTCGTTCCGCTGTCATAAATTTCACCAGGCCATATCACTACTCACAAACATTGACTTCCTCTTCACATCATCTT